AGTTAACTGACCACTAATATTGAAAATTATTCTTGATGTACTGATAATGTGGTCTATCTTTACAAGTTCAGGCTGTGAAACAACGTGATTTTCCTTTCAACGCGATCTCCTTTCAAGTTGGAGATGCTGCCATTTATTTTGTGTTACTAGTGTGCATCATATTTATAATGGTTGCTTGTTCTTTTTTTTTCCCGTTGGCTCTACTAAGCCAAATTAGTATATTAAAATTAAAAAAAATACATATATTTATACAAAAATACTACTCTTAGCATTGTGTACTGAATATTTATTATGGCTAACTGTAGTTAATGCTTTAGAGACTGAAATGCCACCTCCCACCCCTGTAAGCCATAATTATTTTATATAAAGACAATACTTTTTCATTAGCTTCATATTCACTGGAAGGGCAACATAGTGATTGCAAGTGCTAGGAAAACAAGATGTAGGTGTTTTGACATTAGAAAATAATAATGCTTAGCAGAGCCATAGCTTTCTGTGTTTCTCCTGGTAACTTCACTAAATATGTTTACTGCGTTCTGTTTTTTTTCTCAGGAAAACGAGACTGTTTCATGCAGATTTTTAAAACTGCTTGTCTCCATTCAGATTTAGCTAGAGGTGTTGGGATTTTTTGTTCCTTAAAGTACACAACTGAAAAATACTGTCAACCACAAACTTTTAGTGACAAACTGTTGATGAAGGAGCAAAACGATTTTATCAACTTGCTTTCCAAATCAAAACAAAAATACATACAACTTTTATGTCTGCAATAGTAAGGTTGCAGACTCTTTACCAATTATTGTTGAACTTTTGTTTTGTTTTAATCCTAGATCAAATGAAGACCTCTGAAAAAATGAAAAAGGAAAAAATGGGTGTATTCAAGGTCCTAGAAGAATTGTCAGATTCCAATGCAGAATGTGTGTTCTAATGTGCAAATATGGCCTGTTGTCTTACAGGACAAACATATTACTGCAATCAGATCTTCCAGAGATGTCACTTACATACTGATGCTTTATGCTGACTTTCTTTAAGGCCTTGTTCAAATCCCTCATGTTCTTTCAGTGAATTTTAACATGTTCTACAGTATAATGCAGGTGATAGTTTCATATTGTAGCTTTGGTAGGCTCTCATAAAGAATTAATAAAATTAGCATATTTCACATTTGCAGCTAGCTCTTGTGATCAGTGGTAAAAACTGGCAAATTTCTGTTTAAATAAAAAAAAAAATCTTCCTGTGGAAGTCCTAAACCACTTTTTTTTTTTTATATGATGTCAATTATGGTTTTATTTCGAAGGGAGAGAACATGTTCCTTTTTTATCGCCAATGGTGTAGCTTTTGTTTTTAACTTCTGCAAATTATTTTGATTGAATAAATGTCTGGTTTGTCTTAAAGGTGTAGGGTTTTTAGCATATCTTCTTTGCTTATTGAAGTTTATGTTGTGTCCATTAATGCACTCCTTCCCTACTCATTTAGCACACTAGCCAATCACACATTTAGGAAAAAAAAAAAAAAACAAAACACACAAACCCAAACAAATTAAAAAAACCCAAAACAAAAAACCTAAACAAACACTAACAAAGAAGAAACAAACCCTAATCAAACAAAAAACAAACAACAAAACCACCACCATATGTAGCCTCTAAGACCCAGCTGTAAGCAATGGTTTTCAACTTGGGAGTCAGGTAGCTCTTAAACTTTCAGTTCTAGTTTGTGAAAATGTCATCTAGGTGTACTTAGAAGCTGCAGTCATGAAATTGCAGCCAGAGCTGTCAGAATTACAGTTGTGCTGGTTGTGCTGAGGCACAGGTAACGTGGAATAAAATAAAATTCTACTTAATCTATCAGACTTCAGAAACTAGTTTCCAGTCACTTTATGATCTTTTCTCCATAGAGAGTAATCTGTTAGGCTCAGTTAGAGAAAGTTATTTTATATTGGTGAGAGATATTTATCATTACCGCTAGAAAAGAACAAAAAAAAAATCTCTTAATGATTAGGCTAGCTTTGACCTTTGCCTGTTGAAAGCTCTGTCTTGCTTCTAATTGCTGAAGGCAAAAGTTTCTGAGGTTTCTGCTCAGTTACTTATTAGCTTCAATAATGCAAAGTCCAATATGTGCTGTCATGACATGTTACTTATATTTGTTGAGCTACTCAGCTGGTGGTCTTTATGCATTGTTTTATGCTACCAAAGACCTACAAGATGTAAGAGTAAGTGAGGTATCTACAACAGTATGAATGGAATCATTGTAAAAGTTTTAATAATAACTGACATAACTGCTTCCACCCAGGCTTACCTACTTTTGAAGACTGATTTATGCTCAACCTGCACAGCCCCCTGAATGTCACTGTGGGGCAGTATGGTAGAAAATAAAAATGAATGAGAGTGTCTGTCCCATAGCCATCACAGCTAGGATTTAATAATAATTGCTGCCTTCCTAAAAATGCATAAGCTAGCATTAATGCTAATGGTGGCATTAGTGAAATGTAGTCACTGTTTCGTGATGGGTGGAGCTTGGTGTTATTTAGAGGGACTTTGCAGAGCTGTGGCTGCTTTTCCAGCCTATCTTCAAAAAAACAAAAACAGTGCATGTTTTTTGATTGCTGCCCTGGCAGAGCCCATCCCTGTCATCTTTCTTTTTTGGCTCCCAAAGTCCTGTGAACGGCATTGATCAAAGCAAGCACAATACCTTCTTGGCATGACCTTCCATTTCTTATTTCTGCAGTCAAGCGTAATGTTCACACTTGCTATGCACCTAAGCTATGACAAAGCAGTCCAGCATTTAATACCTACAGGCAAAGCCTAGGGCATGCTGTAAGGGGTGCAGGTGTTTCAGGAAGCAGCCTTCCTTTCTATAAATAGGGGAGGTCCACAAGTAAATGCAGTAATGATTATGTGAGAATGTTTGGGGTGGGGGGTGAGTGATGCTAACAGTTTTAAATTGTTCTGGATGAAATAATGTCCCCTTGATTGTCCATTAAAGGGGAAAATATATTTCAGCTGATATAAGACAAATGCACCCAGATATACTCGGCTGTTGTCTGTGGAGGTTTGAGCTGTTGAGACTAAATGCATGGATAGAAAGATGAGGTCTTGGCTTGCATGTGTGTTGCTACTGCACCTATTTGCAGGTGGTGTTTGTTAGGTAGGTGGGTTGGTTTGTTTAGAATCTGGTGAGCTGCTCATATTCTTTGCCAGGGAGGACTGGGGAGAGGCTGCTGGTGGTTTTTCCAGGTGATGACAAGAAAACGTGTGGAAACTTATCTCGCATGTTAGCATCTATTTAATGGCATTTCACCAGCACTAGAATGCACTCTGCACATACCATCATTTGGGTGTCTGTGTTAAAAATTACATGCTGTGCTGTGCTGCACAGCTGTGTGAGACAGGCCCTCTTTGGCAGGATGCTAGCTCACTTACAAACTGCCTGACACTCTTCAGATAGGAACCCTTAATGTATTTTGCATTATTGTCAACTTCTGGAGCAGGCAGCTCAGTGGGGTTGCAGGCATGACCCCATTTAACCTACTTTGTTATTGTTGACAAATTCCAGATGCAAACTGTTAAACTCCAGAGGAATTTGGAAAGTCAGACTACAGTGAACACTGCAGTTGCCAAGTATTTTGTCCAGCATCATAAAAAATTAATACTTTCTTTTTTTTTTCAGAGAGCAGAAGGTGATGAATGTGAATTGCCTCACCTAGCCTGTTCCCATAGTAATAAATTGGATCAGCACTGGTATCTGGATTAGAAACCTACACCTCCAGAGCTATCCCTCAAACCTTTTGTAGTTCCTGACTCCTGCGTCAAGCCCTGTGCAATCAGTTTTCCCAGCAGTGCTGCCAGCCTTCGCTGCAGGGCCGGGGCCGGAGCGATAAAGCATGTGGCCCTGGACAAAGGGGAGCTTGTTTTCTGGCCGCAGCGTAGGGCTGGGGTGGGGAGGGCAGGGGAAATGCCAGGCATGGTTCAGGTTCTTCCGTCCTGGCCCCATGACGTAAGAGCAAGCTCATGAGGTTATCTGGAACAAGTCACGTTTTGCTGACAGATGTTTGTACAGTATGAAAACAGGGACCGTGCGTGCTGGATATACCCCGGCACCGGGGCAGGGGGACCCAGCTGAGCACCCCGGCGGCCAGTGTTTTCTTCCTGCAGGGCAAGGTGGCCGGCAGCCAGGAGCCCCAACCCTGCTGAGAAAGTGGGCCCCAAGGAGTGTGCAGTGTTGGGAGCTGCCACTGTCCGACGGCAAGGCTGGGACACCGAGCTGAGATGCAGCCAGAGCAATCTGTTCCCGTGGGTTTCCTCCTTCAGCCCTGCAGGTCTGTGCTCTCCAGCACTGCACGGGCTTTTTGTCCAGTCCAGCCTGCCTGCACCAGCCACGCTGCAGCATGGAGAGCCTTTCCCTGGGGAAATGCGCTGCGGAGGGGAGAGAACTAACCCTCATTAGCAGCAGTGAGGGGAGCTATCACCCCAGTAGGCCAAAAAAACCCCCACTCTCATCTTGAAAAATAAAGCTGCTTGTGTTTGTATCTGGAGATGGTGCAGGTGTGTGTGCAGGCATGAGCCGGCAGCATGGAGGAACCAGGCTTTTCCCAGGGATGAGCAGGAGGAGGAGTTTGCTGGTTGAACTATGCCATCCTTGCTTGCTTGCAAGTGCCTGTAGAAGGAGCCTGAGGGGATAAGCTAAATTTAGCTGGGTTGGTGAATTAGTTCCCTCCTCAATCTGCCAAAAAGCTGTACAGTTGATCTGGACAGTGGGAGGTTTATAATCTTGGTGACAGGCCAGCTTTACCTCAGATGAGGCTTGGGTTTGTCTTTTTTTTTTTTTCTGCAAGGCAGAAGGTGCTGTGGTGTGATTTATGGTGAAGGGGAGGAAACACATGACCCTGTGTGTAGGTAACCCCAGGGGTGGAGGTGGCCCTGTGCCTGCCAAGAAGGACCTGCATGCAGCTATGGACCCCTCCATTTTCAACCTCTGGCGATTTGTTTTAAAGCAAAGGTGACACTGTGTCTTAGAAACCATTTATTTTCACACCAAAAGAACAGGCAGCATCTCATTCAGAGGTGTGAGCAGTGAAGTAACGTCAGCGCAGACGGGTTTGCTGTACATGGATGGAGGTGCTGCAGCTCAGACACCATCAGCCACTCATCCAGCGCACGTGGGGCGTGTGACCCCTCCCCACATCAAGCCCAAAGGCACCCTCCAGCAGCCATGGCATGGGGAGCAGGGTGATGCCTCTGGCAGCCACCTGGGGCTTTGCGCAGGGGACTGTCCCAGATGTCTCCAGACAGAAATAACCATGGCCATGGGGTCCACCCTGGGTTGGACGAGGGGGAATGTGGTGGTGAGATCCACCCTCACCAGCCTGCACCCAGCCCCCAGCCTGCAGCACAGGGGGTTGGGGGGGGAGCTGGCACAGAATGGACAGGGACAGACGGAACAGGGACAGGGACTATGGCCACTCAAACCTTCCCCTCTGCTCCAGGACTCCCTGGTTTCCAGCAAGCATCAAGTAGACATTTTTTGATGGAGCTATTTGTTACTGTGGGGAACAGAGGGACACCTGGTAAAGGGAAGCACTGAAGTGCCCAGTCCCACCATCAAAACACAGTGCTGGATGGAGAGGAGGCAGCTCTCAGCTGCCTTGCACTGGGGACAGGCCACCAGAGCCAGCTGTGGTCGGTGCCTTGGCTGTGCCCTCCTGGCCCTTGCTGGGTGCCAGCAGGCAGCTGCCAACAAAATAGCAGGTGAGCCCAGTCTGACTGTAATTCCCTCCCACTATTCTCCAGGGTAAACACAGCCATGAACGTCTGCTGCTGCCCAGGGAACCCTGGTCCAGTGCACAGGGATACCAGGAGAAAGCAGACACATCTGCCTTGTGGATTGACCCCATTTATTGAATGCAAATAGAAGGCAAATAACTGTGACACAGAAGAGCTGTAATCTGACTTTGGCCTCTGATTTTCCTGTGCGATTGACAGCACAAAGGAGGGAAAAACATTTAAAAAATCTGTGTATTTAAAAAAAAAAAAAACAGTGAAAGAAGAGCCGAAAAGAATGTTGAACAATTAGTGACCTCTCATGTAAACAGATGGAGGATTAATAATGGCAAGGAAAGTCAAAGCCACGCCTAGCATTCCTTATTGCAAACAAGATTCGGCAGGGGGGCAAGGGATGATGCTTTCCAAGGAAAAGCAGCAGAGGTTAAACCATTCACACTGGTTTTGCAAGCAGTGCAGTTTACTTTGGGAAGACAGTGACCACCTCGTAGCCTTCTGGGGGAATCACCCGCTCCCGCGCGTGCTTCTCACAGTAGATTTGGTCTTCCACGAAGAAGTGTCCTTTCTGCTTGAGGTTGGTGCCACAGTCGCTGCACACGTAGCACTCGGGGTGACGCTGCTTGTCCCGGATCTTCACAAAGACCCCTCTGGGGAAGGAACCAGCACCCCTCAGCACCAGGCACCCACCACTGCCTCCCTCCTCCCCAGCCACCGCCCACCCAGCCCAGCCCCACACCAGCACTGAAGGTGGACAATAGTCTCCTGCTCCTGACAAGCCAACGTATAGGACCTCTGGCTGGTCAGGCAGATGTTAACAGCACTTTTAGCGCCCAATTGGTGCTGGCACGGGAGCCCTCCGCTGGAAGATGTTTCCTAGACTTGGCCTGCCTAAGTTTCACAGGGACAGTCCTATCGTCAGTGGTGGCAAGGCTCACTGTGATGGCACCTTTAACACGGCTGGAGATAGCACATCTTTCGAATGCCTAGGATCAAGTGGCAGGCATCTCAACCACCTGTTGGAGCAAAATCCAGGTCCAAAACAACCAGACTGCAGAACACAGCCAGAAATGACTGCCCACTACCAACTGAGGGGGATAAAGACTGCACAGCCAGCCACTGCCCTTTTACTAATGACTGACACACCAGGTACGTGTGGGAGAAGCACAGATCCTGGTTCTGATCTCAGACGCTGCTTCTTGGGAGCTGCAGTGAACAGATCCAGCCAAATGTGGGCCAGCTCTTAGTGGAAAACTTCACAGTTTAACCCAGCAGGTAATGAGGAACACTGCATAGCAACTTGTTAACTACCACCAGCAGCAACAGAAAAATTTGCCAGGAATATAATTTTGTTCCAGCAGCCACCTATATTTTCCGTAATTCATTAATTTTTAGAGCTATTTATAGCCTTGTGCTTTCTTTCCAGATCTGCCCAGCTGGTAGAATAATTATAAGGTTTGTCTCTGCTTCATATTTTACAGAGTATGGATTGCCTTTGTAATGACTCTGCCAGTCCTTGGTGTGGCAAGCATGCCAGGACCATGCAATCACAGTGTAGTGGGTCTCAGCAACAATCTGATAGCTTGTGGTGAGCAGCATGGGAGAAATCTGAATTCTTCCATGAAGATGCAACACTTGACTGCTGGAGTCAACTGTTAAGCTAAGGAGATTGTAGGAAGAATTTGTGGTTGAGAAACTGAACAGCAAATCAAAGACATGGGTTGGGTCCCTCATGCTGGCACACTTGTGGTACAGCAGCTCTGTATCAAATCCATGCCCTTGCTGTACTGGAAATCAGATTATGTCTGCATAAACATAGCAGAGGTGTACAGTCCTACAGCAGTGCAGGGAGCAGAACGCAGCTCTCCTGGTCCACACTGCCTCTGACCACCAAGGCATGTCACCACTCCATGGCTGGGAGCGCCAAGATATGGAAAGCATTAAGTTCACAGGCCTTGAATGGAAAGGTAATCTTTTTTTTTTTTTTTTTTTATGGGTACTGTAAACAGATTTCAGATAGGAAGCGAAACACTGCAGCAACAACTGTCTCTAGGTTTGCCTCACAGGGACTTGCTTTGGTTTCCACTGATACAGATTTGTAGAAGGATTTGCCTCACTGCAGGGAACTCTAAAGATAGCACTATCAAAGCTAGTGAGAATAAATGTGCCTTGAGCCAGCTCCTGGATGCACTGGATGTGGGTAGGTGAAGTGTTTTGGGTGCACAGGCATGGGATGCTTGGCCTGCAACCCCAGGGACAGGCTTACTTACACAATGCCAGATCCACACTTATCGCACATGGGCAGCTTCTGGGCATTCCCAATCGATGAGGCCACCTTTGTGGTGGGGGCTTTGACGCTCCTAAATCCAGACGGTTTGGTAGGGTCTCCTGAGGGTGGAAGGAGAGTGCTTCAGAGCATGTGAGATGTATGGCTCTAGGCTACTCCTCCCAAGCAGATGCTCTGCTAGGGAGGGGTGATGTTCTTCAACGCCAGCTTGGAGGCAGGATTCATGCATGGATAGTGGGCAGGGATTTAGAGGTGTGTGGGGAGGAGGGAGAGAAGGGACACAGCTAAACCCGGCCCTGGAAATTCAAGGGCCTGAATTTGTGGGCAGTCAGATGAGAGTCTCTTCTCATCTTAAAAGCCCATCAGACTACAGCTGATGTGTCTCACATACACAGATGCACAAAGCAAAGAGAAGCCTCAGCCCCAGCCCCTGCCTTGGCAGCACAGGACTCTGCCTGCCATGTCCCGATCACACATGCAGGGTCAAGCTGATTGCCGGATTTGGGCTCAGAAAGAGGAAGGAGGTGGGTGTCCTGCAGACTAGGGAGGACTGTCAGAATCCTCTTCCTGTCTGCTGTCTGGTGTATGGTGGGGCTGGCTCTCCCGAGACTCCTGGAAGATTTGGTTAATAAACTCCTTGTTCTTGCAGGGCCCTGAGACACTGGGGATAACTTTGTGCTCTCCTGCTGCTGCGTAGCATGCTCCAGGTATCTGCCTAGTGCAGCCTCTCTGGGGCAGGGATGTCCTGCAGGTCCTTCACAGGTGACATCTGCTGACCTGGGTGCCTACAACAGCAGTGGATCCTAGATGCAGAATACGAGGCAAGCCTTTAAATATCCGCAGTGAAAAAGGAGCCTGTTACAAAATGGCACCATTGATGTGACAAGTCATATCTATATGACCTTTGCAAGAGGTTCAATACCAGGCAACAAGGGAAGGAGGGCTGCAGAGCCTCCCGTGATGTTTCAGCAGAAACAGAGGGGGTTGTTGGACACCTCAGCCTGGGCGGGACACTGATAAAACCCTTCTGACTAGTGTCAAACCAAGAGCACAATGCAATGGCTGTTCCTGGCATAAGGGAAGGAAAAACCCTCTGAAGGCACACCCTGGTGACCAGCAAGGTCAGAGACACGTCACAGCCAAGAGCAGTGCCACTGACAGAAGAGCTGATGGAAAAAGCGGGAGATTGCCCACCGCACCTCCCTCTCACCACTGCTCATCCGTGGGGCAGGTGACACTGTGCTGCTTTACCTCTGGGGCAGCCGTCAGCTCAGAGGTTTGCACCCAGCTCTGTGCAGGGATGCTGGTCCAGAGGTGCAAGTTCCCTAATGGGGGCTACAGACCATGCACCCTCCAAACACAGCAGGAAGCACCTGGCCTCCAACAGAGTTACTGCAAGTGACCCTTACTGGGAAGGAAGCAGCAGCAACCACATTTTCAGGCTCTTCCCTGTCACCTCTGCTCACTCCCTCTGCCTCAAACAGCACTTTGCTCATATCAAGAACATTGACAGCATGTTTTTAATCTCTCTAAAGGAATCAGCTTAATCAAATACCCACAGGAAATAGAACTTCTTCCGCCCTGGGAAACACCCTCCACCTATGTGTGCAGGGTCAGGTCTAAACACAGACCAGCCGTGGTGCTTCCACACACAGCCCCTGTGTCCAGGGCCAGGCTCTCAGCTGGTGTAGTTGGTGTAAGTCAGCACAGCTGATACAGTCAGCCATGCCCCGAGGGACCAGTCCCAGCTGGAGAGATCGCTCCCTGCTGCTGCTCAAAAGCCATTGCCTGAAGACAGGCTGGGAGAAGCAGACAACCAACGTGCTACTTATCACTGCAAACCTGATCTGACTCAGCAGCAGCAGCGTTTGAGCCTGGCCAAGCAGTGAGGCAGGCAGGGGCACTGTCTCCTGGGGACAGACATTCCTTTGGGGCTGTGTAACCTCTCAGCCCTGCTCCGCACGGGTGATTATCAGCTCACAGTGGAGTAATGCCAAAGCCTTTCCTGGCCTGTGATGGGGTAGGCAAACCTTGTGCCAGAGAATCCCAATAATGCTGCAAATCTTCAAAGAAAGATAAAGTAGAGAGGCTTTTGCTTCTTATCTTCTTCAGCACTGCTAAGAATAGGGGAGGACCTTGGCTGCGTAAGAAGTCCTGGCTACTCCAGTCCCTTCCATGCAGAAGCTGAACCCTGAGGGCAAGTTGCAAACACTCAATATTTGAAAGATGGTTTCATATAGGTATTTTAACAGCATATTAAAGACTCCAAGATCCTGGTTTCTTTCTTCCTATTGGTCCCTTATCTCCTTTGTTTTGCTGTATCCTTACAGATCCCTCAGACCTACCAGCACGTGGCTGATCTGTTTCCCTTTATGGTGAATATCTCAGCACCAGGCTTTTGTTGATGAAATTGAATGTACCACTGCCAAGCTAGTAACACAAAAGACAAAGTCTCAACTGGCCTAAGGAAAAAAAAGTAATTCCTGGAATTATTTTCCTATTTATTTGTTTATTTTATTTAAGGGGAGAAAAGAGTATGATTTATCCCCTACCTAAGTTAATTGACTTTTTAATCTTAAAGTCTATAGCCCTGAACTGCACAAGTCCAGATGTCAGATCAAGAATGTGAAGCAAAGTTTCACAGGTTAAAAGATATGGACTGCTCGCTGTAACCCAGCTTTCATGTTTTTATATTCAGCTGCAGAAGTGGATCCTTTTTCCTGTGTAAAGGGATGGAGATCAGAAGCTTTAGGACTCACTGAAGAGCACTATCTTGTAGTAACTTTCAAAGTCTTGAATCTAAGATGGTCTTTAATCAGTGAATATTATCTTAAAGGGGCAAAACTTTAGAAGGTATAGAAGAGTTTTTTGAATTTTAAAATTCCTTCTTGAACACTTAACATTGTGGACGTTTATTTCTTGAGTACTCACTCGAGAAGTAAGCAATGATATGGACCCATAGACAATGAAACTGATCACCAATAGTATATTTAGGACTTGTTAGTGAAAGGCTCTCTAGGTTTCTGTAGAAACTATCTACACATGCTACTTTGAACAATTAACAGCTAAGAAAGGAAAAAAAGGTTTTAGATGTTACTCTTAAGCATTGTACACAGCTCAAGGAATGGCAAAAGGGAAGAACACACTCAGATTAGATGTGTACTAAGTGCTCACCTTTCTCTTCTGACTCCAGAATCTCTTGCAACACTAGGAATGAAGCAGACTGTCTGGGTGGCTCATTTGACTCTTGATTCTCCTGAAGCATCTTGTAAACCTCAGATTCTCTGTCTATGACAATGCCACCTGGGGGCTGGTTATGCTGATCTAAACTGAGGAAGGAACAGAGAATGCACTTGTTAAATAGCTGAAAACTAAAGCCAGCTCCTCAAGCAAAATTTTCACACTGCATCATAGAAATGAAGAATGAATGTACAAAACAAACACACGACAGGATGCCATAAAACACGGAGGTGCTGGATGTGCTCGCACAAGCAGCTGCAGCTGGGGTGTGATCAGCACGCTGGGCTATTCACATACGCTACTGTCAACAGGTTCTCACCAACTGCCCCTGACCAGTCCTCAAGTGTTCGCCCTGCTTTGCAATTACTATATACTCCAGAAACGAAAACTTTCTGCCCAGGAAACCACTGCTTTCTTAATAGGTAAATAAAGAACTCATGTGCTGGCATGGTAGCTGTGCCATCTATGCATATTCCTTGCATGAACTACCTCAGACTACTACTGTGAATCTCAAATTAAGTAAAGTTTATTCCATTAAAAAGAAATTTTTGCAAGTACACTATGAATTGCTCCTAGAGGCCACCTTCACAAAGTAACAGCTGTAGGATCTAACTAAAAGATCCTCTGATTGGCAATAATTTAATTTGGTTTTCAAGTGAGTGCTATTATTTCCATTTTATAGTTGGAGACTATAGTTGGAGCCACAGCCCATTTACAACATTTAACTACAGTTAAAGGGCAGGTCAAGAGCAGAGGTGATTTCTGCCTGCTAAGATTAAGCCCTCCGTTCAGTTGCCTTCTGAGGCACTGCTGCTGCCACTCACTTGCACCCTCAGCCCAGAGCCCAAGGTGCTTCAGGGGCAGCTCTTCACAGTCCAGGGTGGCTGAAAGGGTCATCATTGTGCCACCAGAAGGGTCCTTAGGGGAAAAAAATAGAAAGAGGCTGGAGGCAGTACCTAGGATGTTCTCCATATTCAGTGAGTACAGGATAAACTACAGGCTTAAAACTGAAGGAGGATATTCAGAATATCCCTTAGGAAAAGCTTTCCAACAGATACCGAAATACCAGACCAGATTGTCACTGACAGGTGAGCAACCTCCATACTAAAGGATTTTTAGAGTCTGGATAAATAGCCACTGGGAATGATTTAAATTAATGGTTTAAATTGACCAAATGCAGAGCTAGGGGATGGACTAAATGGCACAGGAGATTCCTGCCTGCCTTGTGTTCTGTGGCTGGTCTAAAACATCTCTGGAAAAATGAGACAGCTGACAAGTCTCCTCTGACAGCTCAATTACATAATGCAGCCTTATAAATGTAAGTGGTCTACTAGGTTTCGCTGTCCCCGCACTCTGTGATTGCCTGAAAAGTACATAAACATCCTGAAGTTCAGAGTAAATTGCAGGGAGAATTTTTTTTCTTGAGGAGGCAAATGCATACTTTCCATGCCAATGTGCAGTTTAGTCATCTGGGAGTTAAGCTACATAATAAACTCTTCAAGCATCGGAGGTAAAATCATTGCATGTGCTATAAAATGTTATTTCCATGAAAAGAATTTCATAAAATGTTTCCATCTTTGGTAATTTTTGGTGGAGCAGGAAGCACATTAGACTTGCAAGTAGGTGAAGCCTTGAAGCCTGAATCTCATTTACTGAAGCCTCTCATCCAAAATAATAATTCACACAGAAAATGTCCTATGTTATCCCAAATGAATCCATGTTCCACACAGCATTCATCTTATGTAAACTCATATGCTCCCACCACTCTATCCACTCATAAAAACATCAGGCAAGAAACCTTTCATTGGAGTTTGCATACTCAGAATGTTTCACTAACATGCATTCAAAAAGCAAAGGCTCAGTCATCTTAAAAGAGTACTAGAGTCAAAGAAAGCCATCACATGTCAACCATGCATTGTGGCAGTGTGCAAAACATATAGATCAGCTCTCCCAGGTATGCATTCTATAGATATACTTGCATATACAAGAATTCTGAAAGCTATTAAAAAAAAAAACCACCAAAGCCCAAATCTGAGAATTTGTACCAGCAGACTGAAATACCTCAACATGTCAGTGCAAAAGGCTACACTGCTTAAAGAAAAAAAAAAATACAACAACAAGAAAACCCCCACAAACACAAAAAAACCTCCAAACCCCAAAAGGCACATGCATCTTTTGAATGGGCAAGCCCACAGGCACAGGAATTCTGTCTGCAGGACAATGAGTCTCCTTTTGTTGGCTGATTTATGGCATCTCCTGTTACACAGGTACTTTATTCTCAGCAATTACCAGCAACTGGTGTCCTTTTCCATGTGCAGGACTTCCCCAACACAGAAACTTTGTAGGGGACGACTCCAACAACCTTTACTGGATTTCAGACTCACAACCGTTACTGGATCTCACTGCTTCTATCATGGGCAGCTTGTAATTCTGACTGAGTAACATTGGCTCACTGAGCTTTGAAAATTGGCAAGAAGATGGTAATAAAAACCATAAAGACACAGCCTCGCACAGTGTGTCTTCAGAAAAGCACAGTTTATTCTTTACTAATGTCATTTTACTATTTTATGCTAGCACATTTTGTAACGTTTACAAGGATCTCAAAGCTGGGCTACAGGAAGGCACAGTACTTGGAGCATTCACTTTTGCAATGAAACAATTGCTGATGCCTGAGGCTCCTTTGTGAGTGTTATCAGCTCCTCCCGACCAGGACAGCCAGCCAGCAGAGTGTGACTGATCCTGGTGTGCACCATATCGGCTACAAGCCAGGACAGTGACTTACAGCAAGTAACTGGACAGAGTAAGAAGGCAGGAGTAGATCCACAGCCTCCCATTATCTCCCGGCTGCTGGCACATGGCAAGGCTTGGCTGTACGGATCTGTATTTTTCTGCTTTGAAACACATGGTGCTAAGCCCAGGGACTGTAAGCAGCTGAGGTGCTGAGAGCTGGCTGTGCCCTTTTGCTCTGTCCCAGAGGCCATGGGACTGACCACCTCCCAGGTCACACAGCTGCAAGCTGCTTGGTCACACAGCAGGGTAATTCTGCTGAAGCTTCAGGTCTTCCAAAGCAATTCAGCCTTGATTGGAGCCCTGCGAGATGGCTAAACATTCTTTCTGCTTCACTCATCTTGATACTGAAGCCCTCCCTGTAAAACCCTGTGGTCTGTCACTTAGAGGCATGGGCCAGCTGGTTCCCAACTGCCACAAAGCAAACATCAATAAGCACCCAGGCCTTGTGATGCTGAGGCCCTCCACAGGTCCTGCAGACCTCAGAGCATGTTGAGCATCCTCTGCTCCTACAGGCAAAGAGGCAGCCCCAAGAGCAGCAACCTGTGCAGACAGGTGGGCAGGAGTGGGAACACAGACTGGGCCCTCCACATGCCTGGTGCCTGCCCAGGCTGCTCCAAATTCATGAGTGTTATCAGCCAAAGATGGAGACCCATGGGGACCTGCTTCAGCCTGAAATGAAACACGCCCAGCACACATCCATGGCCCAGACCACAGCCAGCAAAACAAAAGCACAAGGACATGTGTGTCAGCATCTTCCAGTCACCACCAGTGATTTCAGTGCAGGAGCAACACCAGCTTTCAGGATAAAGAAGTCTCCTGCCCCCTGCAAATCCATCTGCTGCTGGTGGCTCCTCCAGAAAAGCCACCAGCTGCTGTCAGGGCCCTGCTGCGTGGGTGTGCAGGGGGCAATGGAGACACTGACAGACTGAAATCATGTTTTGGTGCTTCCCACAGTGTTGGACACAAACAAAATGCAGAGAAAGCTCCTGTGAAGAGTCATGCACTAATGTTGGAAAGGTGAAATGTAAACGCTGTTTTCTTGTGACTGGCCAATGCCGTGAGCCACAGACAGGGACGAGGCACTTGTGGACACTGAGATGCAGATGAGCAGATGCACTGAGCCAGCCACAGAGGCAATGGGCAGGTTACCTGGGGAAATCGGGGCTAACAGAAGAGATCTGCCCCTGCAGGGAATCCATGATGTTGCTCTGTGAATAGAGCTGCAGGGGAGAATTGAACTGCACATGCAGCACTTTGAGTCCTGGCACCTCCACTTCCATGGGACTGTTGGGGCAGACCTGGGCCACGCACTTCAGCTGCTCGGGCCCCACTCGGACCTGGCTGGGGACGGAGGAGGTGCTGTGCCTCCGCTGCACTGGCTCGGAGGTCTGCGCCTGCAGGGGGTTATAGACGGAGGCGAAGGGAGCCTGCATCGCACTTGTCAGCGATGGGTGGCTACGGGCCCACGTGTTCACACAGGCAATTTGAGTTGTGTTTGTTTGTGGGTTCATTTGGGTTTTACATTGTGGAATTGAGGGAAAAATGCAGAGGAGGAAGAAAGGAAAGAAGGAAGACATTAATGAAGGACTAAACCAAATACTCCAAGAGATACAAGCAGTCGCAGAATACTGTCTGAGAGACATACCACATGCCTTTATATTAAAGGCTTCTGGCTAATGCTGTGGCTCTGGTCTCACACTCCAGGTATGTCCACACAAAAACTAAAATGCAGTCGCTCTACTAATGAGACAATGCAGGGGGTTGTAAAAGCAATGAAGACATGGCAGCAGGGGTTTCACTATGAACGAGCTACCTGAGCAGACACTCATGGTCCAGCCAAGGAATGCTGCCTTCACAGCTGCCCTTTCCCAAAGCTAGCTTGGGTGCCCTACTGAGGGGCAATCTCACCTCCTATCCCAAAACAGACGTACTCAACAATGGGGCTTCTCCCTGCCCTCCCCACCTGCTTTGTGACACCAAATCCAGTGATGTTCACTGGTGTTTTTGTCTGTACCACAGCCCTGCATTTACATCACACCCTCTAAGTCTGGACCACAGACCAGGTCCCTGTGTCACATCACCATGTGAAGTGGCATGATCAGGCTGTCATGTTCAGACAGGCAATGTGTCTGTTGGGTGCAGGATGGGGATGCAGATAAATGCCAGGTAAACCCAGAGCAAGGTCAGCCATGTACAAATAATTCAGCAAAATAGATGGACAGGAATTTAAAGGCAGTTGGAAGGCTGCGTGAAGGCAGAACCTATGCATCCTGTGCTTGTGCACTGGGGAGACCACAGTGGGTTTTAATGGCCCTGGCTCTCACCGAAAACCAGCAGCAATCGTTTGCTTTTGATGACACTGTAAACAAACGAGTATTAGCAGCAAAGGTTTCATCCAGCATTCCTTTGCAATTTGCTGTGTTTCAGCCAGGGAAGGAGGAAATAGATGCTATGTACCCCACAGGCAGTAGGGCTGGCAATGGACCTTCCTGCTAGAAGGAGCACTAGAAGAAACCCACCTCTTCGCTGATCCCTGCAAGAAAAAGGGATCACCCATAAGTTTCCAGCCAAATGTACCTGGCTTCCTGACTGGACCAGAGCAGGTATTTGACTGCCAGATGGTCCCACCAGGTTAATGTAAAGTCAGATTTCCCTTGTTCTTGCTCTGCCTTTGCTCAGCCCCTGAATGAGGCTGCTTAGGTCTACCAGAAGCAAATGAGGAACAAACATCTGACAGTCACCTCGTCTGCCAGCTGCAGCACCGTAACTCTGCCTAGAAGGGCCCATGGTGCAGACAGGGCTGCCAGTATAAGAAGCTGGTTTCAGTGAGAGGCAAGTTTTCAGACTTGTGTTAAACCACAATCTCAGGTCTTTGTGCCCTGCAAAAGCAGAGGGTGAAGTTACTTTTGTGTCCCCATTCACAAGTCAGGAATTTAGTCGAGTATCACCAAAAGCATTGGTCTTGCAGCTTTTGTTGCAAACGTGGCCAAAGTCTTCCAGGCAGTTTGTACTGCTATACAGAGACTTCAAGTAGTTAAGCGACTTGACCAACACAGCCAGAAAGATTTCAGACAGCTCTGGGTTTATTGCTTTCAGTGAAAAAAAGAGGAACTTTGGACTTCTGGGATAAAGTAAGGTCTTTGGTGAAGCTCAGATGCAACCACAAAAAGCAATAGGCCCTTTTAAGGTTGGGACTCTTTCCAATCCCATATATAAAACCATTCACACAGGTATGAATGTTTCAGCTACTTTTTAAAACTCCCATGATAAACAAGGTTCGATAATAAAAACCAGAAAAATCCAAACTTAGGCAGAGCCTGTCTATGAATCCCAGGCCAGCCAGGAACAGGGATGCATGTGCTTCCTGCGCTAGCTGGTACCCTTCCTGCCCAGCATTGCTCACCAAGCCAGCACAAAACTCTAACTTTACAAAGTGCTCGTAACAAGCTTTCAGGCACCTGTTCAGACCAGCGGGCTGGTATGTCATGCTGAACGCACGCGGAAACTGCGTCGGTCTCTGCTAAACAAAGAAACACAACAGCATTAATTTCATTTCTGCATCTCACGAGATGTTGCCTGCTTCTCCACGCACTGCCCCTGGGAACCACATCCATGCTCATGCCTCTGCTCCTGCCCTTGTCCTGAAAGAGAGCTTTTCTGGGTTAACAAATTGGTACCCTCATAATGAACTCACATCTCCTGGAGCCTTCCCCTGGGGGCCTGGACAGGGAGGGGAGGCCAGGAAGATACTTACGGCTTGGTAGGCTCCAGGGCCCCAGGTGATGTCTTTGACTCCACCGCACTGTTGAAGGTCTGGATGTTCTCTGAGGAGTAGAGGCCTGCTGGGCTGTTGTACTGAGCAGTGATCACTCTGGGGGCAGAAGCCGTGGCAGCAGTGAAGGGCACTGCGCTCCGGTTGTGTGCACTTCCTATGTGCCTTATTTCCTGCATGCAAAGGAGCAGAGGCGAAAATCAGAGGTGCTCAGGCATGCAGGTGGGATGTGACAGGACAGCCTGGAGCAAGCAGCCACTGCAATGGTGGCCTCTGAGTGTGGTGTCAGCTGAGGAGCACACGACCACAATCGCCAAAGCAGGCGAGCGTACTCCACACGTCACAAGGGCCCCCGGCCCCATCCTGGATGGCTTCAGGCTGACCTTCAGGACACTTCAGAGTTGACATGCCAGGAACATAAGAGCTCAGAAACACTGCCAGAGCTATTAGCTCACAGTGCCACACACCTGGGAGCTCCTACAAGCCTACCGTAAGCCACAGGACCTACCCTCTCATGCAAGACTATGGATTTTAAGCATTCCTTGCAATTTCTGAAAGCAGGGCTGTTTTCTATGGAAAAATGAAGATGAGGGGCAGAAAGAGGAACACTCTTCAATGACATCTGAAAGTTTGGCTTCCCTTAGATAAGGGCAACCCAAAAAGAAGGCATTTGTCATTACTATAAGTGCTCTGGAGCACGTCTGCTCCTTCAGCTAAGACCGGGGTTCATAGCTGTCTTTGATGAACAACTTTGGACATTCTGGACATGAAATTCCCACAGTAAAGGTGGGAAGATGACCATTATTAATACAAAAGCCTGTCCACAGGCAGTGACAGCCAGCTTCCAGAGAGAACTTCAGTGTCAGAAGTATGAGATATCATCCAGATGTTCTGGGTTTGATGCAAACTGGAGGCTTCCAGCAGTGTTAGTGGATGCTTAGAAACACTGGTTACAATTTAATAAGAAAGGGGTCAAATCCAAGTTAAGACATGAAGTAAGAGTCTTCTGAATCACAGGCAGCACTAACAAAAATGGGGTTGTTTCTAAGCCCCATCACCAGTTCACCAGGCTGTGATTTAGCATCCTTGGGCCAGAGATAATAACATCTAGGTCTTATTTCTCCCCAGAGAAGACACTTGACCAAAGCAAGAAGAAAGTACAACAGGAACTCACTAGAGCAGGCATAAGAAAGGACTAACATTCACAGAGGCAGATGAAATATTCAGGGCTAAAACATGGCACCAAAATGTGCGTTTTGAAATGTTTCAGCCAGCTGTAGAGATTGGGCATGGCTTCAATACAGGGCTAACATCCAATGGCAGAGGATGAAACGGGGCCCTTTTTAACATGCCGGGCCCATGGTTCCCAACTCTAATTAACACAACTGGTTCCCCCTCCTGCTCCATACAGGCACTGACTTCTACAGCAATGAAGTGAGCCTTCACCGCCCTTTGAACATCTCACAGCATTTGTTTGACAGAGCTATAGTTACAGGATAAACACTTACTAGAAACAATTATGACTAAATTCCCCTACACATCTTTCTTTAAATCACTTTTATGTCCCCAGATTTCCTTAGGCAGCTGGATAGCACTCCCAGACTGAGAGATGAGAGTCATTTCACTTCATGGCTCTCAAATGCTATTTATGGCATCAAGCACAGCATAGGATCCATCAGAGAAGAGCAGCATGGATCCAAACACACTCATGAGTTACAAGTCATCTGAACTCAGTGGGGTAGCTCAAGGTATTCAGGTGTGGGGTAGTAGGACTGCTCTCCCACGGCTTTCTGGCCAAAATATATGGACGTCAGCCATGAAGCTTTCCCACAGACCAAAGGAAGAAAGACCCTGGAGTAATTAGCTAATCTCCCTTTGTTGCAATCTCATTCAAAGCACATAATAGTGCTCATAAAAATAGTCTTTCCCATGGCAGAAACTGTGGATTTTAGCAAAAAAAAAATTACCTCAGCCTGCATATCACACCGTGGGGAAAACTATCAGTGATGTTATATCAGCATTAAATACACATGCTAGCCCACCAGTCAGAGGCCACAAGTAGGAAAGGGTTTCAGACATAGTTTAATGAAAGACAGAGGCACAAGTTTTAGGCTAAAGGGGTTACACTCTTAGATCAAACAGGCTCAGAGTTGAAATCATGTCACAACCTTTACTGAGGGAACATTTAAGTACTAACCAAGAATTAAAGAAAGGGAAGTAATTTAGAGTGTTTTTTTTTATAAATTCTGGTTTCCTAAGGAAGTAAGGCATCTCAATTACATACTCCACATGCACATGGGCATATTCCCACCCGCAGCGAGGATCTCTGAGTCTGTCAGCCAAGCCCAAATCAGTTTGACAGTGATGGAGGCCTCAAGGATGTTTAAGGTCCTACAAGTATTGAGAAAATAGACAGCCAGATGGAAGAGAGACTGAAATCGCATTAGTGCCTTGACACACACTCAGGCCCAGAATCCACACAGATTTTGGCCTACTTTTGGTCACCAGGTAGGTTTTCTGCTGTGTAATAACATCCAATACCATAAATGAAGATTTCAAAAGTGTCAGGACATCTGTAGTAGCTCTCATGTGGATAACAAGTTAAATAGAGATATCAGTGCAGAAATTGGTGTCCGGAGATTAGAAAAATCCCATCTGGAGAACAGCGTAGAAGGTGTATAACCCAAGAGCCTATAGGCAAGTATTACAAGAGCAGTAACATTATAAAGGGCATGTGATAATCCAAATTCACCAGCACTTCCTATCACACTATGCCACTCTTTCTGCTCAAGCTGTGGAAGGCATTTGCAAAGAACAAGTGCTTTCATGATTCCAAGATCAAAAGATAACATGTTCTCACTGTCAAATGTATTTACCTAAGGATTTGCCAGAACTGCCAATCCAGGCCCTGTGCTGGGCAGCTGTTTTGTTAAAGCCCCAGCTCCTGGAATCAAGTGTTTATGTGAGAGTCTCTGACTTAATACTAGAAAAAAAAAATCAGAAATATGACACTCCCAAAAACTTGTCCACCAGTAGGCAAGTGAAAAATGTACAAAAACGCTGCTATACTGTGTACATGTGTGGGGGAAGCACCTGGTTTATACAGTTGAGATGCCTGGGGTTTGCACCATTTCTAAGGCTGTGGCATTCCCAAGACCAATGCAAGAAAAAGGGGGAAAGCAGAATTAAACAGCATCCCTGGCTGGGGCACAGACTGCAAGAGCAGTAAACAGTGGTCTGTTTGAAAAGGAAGAACTGGCAGTCAGACACAAGGATATGCTCTTATCAAGTCAGAGCATGACCCACTCTTTCTTTGTCAGTAGTACAGAGAAGGGTGACTAATATTAGATCTTTTCAGAGACATCTTCAGTTG